TACTCCTGTTTCCAAGGGGTTATGCAGGTTTTGCGGGTATTATGACCAGGTATTAATACTAAATATTAAGATCTTTTTGAAGAAGCATGTGTACTTTGTTAGAATACGAATGGGGATTGTTGCTTATGTTATTCCCATCAGCAATTGCAGGCAAAGGCCAACACAAGCCAGCAACAGGGAAATGACAACCTAGCACATCCAGTGTGTTTTATGAACCAATACTGTCGTCAATGTAGATGGTTTTAGGCCACTTTTTTGAAAGAGCGCAATCATTTCATTAAAACTTTCTTATATTAGTTTTATATCTAACCAGATATGATTAATGATTTCTATTGATTCATGTTTTTTCCATGAGTGCAGAGAAACAGGATAGGTCAATCACCAGTAAGTATTATTGTTGGTGCATTGATTGAATACTTGGACCATTTGTCCCACCGTTGGGCATGTCGTATGAGCACACCTGGAGGTTATCACACATTTAATTTGGGATGGTACCTAAATACATACGTTTGTTTCTACATCCTCAAAATGCAATAGATCCTCTTCATGATGTGTTGTCACGTATGTTTGGAGTATGTCTGTCTAACTTGCCATAACGTCAAGGAATGCAGTCAGATATATTAATATTTTATGTCCGCCATAGCAAGCAAAAGCCAACACAAGCCAGCATCGGGGGAATGACAACCAAGCACATGCAGTGTGTTGTATGAACCAATACTGCCATCAGTGAGTGTGGTTTTAGGCCACTCAGACTAGCGCAATCAGTTCATTAACACCTTTCTGATATTAGTTTCATATCTAACCAGATGTGATTAATAACTTTTATTGATTCACGCTTTCTCAATGTGTGTAGAAAAACAGGATAGGTTCATTACCAGGAGGTGTTATTGTTGATGTTTTGATTGAACACCTGGACCATCTGTCTCTCCGTTGGTCATGTCGTATGAGCACACCTGGAGATTATCGGACATTATATTTGGGATGGTACCTAAATACATACGTTTGTTTCTACACCCCCAAAATGCAATAGACCCTCTTCATGATGTGATGTTGCCTGTGTTTGGAGTATATCTGTTTAACTTGTCATAACGTCACGGAATGCAGTCAGATATATTAATATATCCGCCACTTTGAATCGTCTTTGAAATTATTCCAACAGGCAGAATTCTTCATGCACAAGCGTAGAGTGAGTGAGTGAATAACGATTTTAAGTCAAGTCGGCACTATTTCAGCAATATCGTTACTATATCAAGTTATATATTTATAATAATTATAGGCAAAAACATGTCAACGAGGGACAGTAAAACAACAAGTTTATCACGGATATAAATTTAAAAACCATTAATTAATTTTAAAACATTTTAACTATACAAGACGATACAATATAAAAACAAGACTATAGATTGCCAACAACTGAAGGTGAATCACCATACTAGGGACCATACGGATTTACAGTACCTCTGCTACCTGCATGGACCCTAGCTGGATTTACATCATCCCTTCAGCCGCTGGCGATTGCGGGAAAGTTAACCCATAACTTAAGATCACATAAATGCTACGTTTAAAGATCTGGTAAGTTTAAATGTACTTTGAATGTGTTGGGACTTACGTACCGTCACAGAAGGACAATAATCCTACGATACTTTAACCCCCTTTGAGGATACAGCCACTAACACTCTCAGTTACTAGTTCAAACTTCCAATTATAAAAAATATATTTATCTACAAAACATAACAATAACAAGTTCTATTTCCTTCAAAACTTAAAAAACTAAAAGATAATTAGCATTACTAAAAAGGTCCTTCAATGTTTTGACATTGAAATACTTATCCCTTGTGATCAACACAGTCACGCAGGACATGCTTGACCTTGATTCCTTCATCACAAGGGATACAAAACAGAGGATCATCACCTTTCAACAGGTATTCATGAGTATATCGGGAATGGCCAATATGGCATCGTCTTAAAATGACCTCATCAAATCTGGACTGACAACCCAAGTAGGTGTAACCAATAAGGCTTTATAGGATGTAATATTTTATTTATACCCACTTGGGTGTGACACTTCTTCTGCATCAGATCACGGATATAAGATCTAATGGTAGCTTTGTAATCAGAGTATGGAATAAGAAGTGGTGTCACAGATTTGTTGAGTGCCGCCCTAGCAGCAATATCGGCCATTTTGTTACCAGAAATGCCAACATGGCTGGGTAACCATGTTATCATCATATAATTCAAATATTTCAATTGAAAGTGGATGTGCCACTTAAAAAGAGTTCTTGGTCTTTATGCGGTTTATATTTTCTACAGAAATGTATACAATTTGCTTTGGATTTATTAAATTTAAAACCGTTTCTTATTGACCATTTATGACATTTATTGAGACATAGTTGTAATTGCCTCTCCTTTGTATGCATATTTTTACCACGACAAGAAACATTAATTTTATCCACGAAAAGTGATCCATCAACTGAATCATTTAAAACCCTTGAAAGACTGTTTATTGTAATACTAAATAATGTTACAGACAAAATACTGCCTTATGGGACACCCTGATTCTGATTGCAATGACCAGACAGGGTTGATTCCATTCTGACGCGCCTGTCTGTTAAAAACTGTGATATAAAAGAGGAAAACGACCCCTCAAACCAAAATCATGTATATCTTTCAGAATGCCGTGCTTCCAGGTAGTATCGTGGGCTTTCTCCAAATCAAAGAAACTGATGCAACGTGTTGTTTAGTTGCAATCGCATTCTTAAACATATGATTCTAATCGTACTAAATGATCAATAGTACTACGATTTTTCCGGAAACCACATTGTATATTTGTAATTAAGTTATTAGATTCGAGATACCAAATGAATCTATCGTGTACCATTCGTTCAATGGTTTTACAGACACAACTCGTTAAAGAGATTGGTCTGTAATTAGGAGGATCATTCAGGATCCCGGTCAGGTTCTGGTATAGGAACAACGATGGCATTACGCCAGGATGTTGAAAAATTCCCTGAAGTCCATATTTGATCAAAGATATTTAGAAATGTTTCCAAACCTGATTCAGGTAAATGTTTCAAGAGCTGATAGTGAATATTATCAGCTCCTGTTGCCGTATGATGAGCTTGCTCGAGGGCGGCATATAGCTTATTTAGCGAAAATAGTTCGTTGTAATCTTCACCATTGTCCGAGTTGACATTAATTTTTCTTCTCCTGTTGTTCCTGATGGTTCTGAAAGTCAGGGACATAATTGGATGAAGACGAATGCTTGGTTAGAGTTTCACCAAGCTTATTGGCAATGTCAGCTTTATCCGTCAATAAATTTTAACCATCCTTCAGATGGTGGACAGTAGATTTGGAACCTTTGCCCTTTATTCGTTGAATCATGTTCCACACCTTAGAAATAGGTGTGCGTGAATTTATTTTGGAAACATAGTTTCGCCAAGACTGGCGTTTATTATGTTTAAATGAACTTCGAGCTGTTCGCAAAAACATCATGTTTTAAGTGATCAATACATAGTGTTTCATATAATGACCAATCAGCCCTGGTGAAGTTTCTTCTTGATAAAGGAGGATCATCACCAGGGTTGATAGTTTTGAGAAGGGTGGGGAAATGATAACTCCAAAATAGGCCATCATGGACCATCCATTCAAATTCATTATATGAAATGGAGTCAGCAAGTGACAGATCAAGGGAAGAATATATTCCCGCAGATGGATGTAAATAAGTGGCTGAATCAGCATTGAAAATACATAAAATATTATCGGAAATGAATTCCTCAAGTATTTTACCTTTAGTATTAGTATGGACACTTCCCCAAAGTGGGTAGTGTCCGTTAATATCGCCCATGATGAGACATGGCTTCGGAAGTTGATCATATACATTTTGAAGATCCGACTGTCGAATGTCAGAAGGAGGAGTATACAAGCTACACAGAGTTATTGCAATGTGCAGAGTCAGACGAACTGCTACAGTTTGAAGATTGGTATTTAGAATGATAGCTGTATGTATGACGCTCTGATGAACCAAAATATACACGCCTCCATTTGCTCGTTCTACCGGGGGAGAAAAAGGATGATAATCGCTATATATTGTCTTATATTAAAGGTATCAGTTGTTTTTAGATATGTTTCTTGGAGACATAAGGCCGATGGCCGAAAGCCCTGTATCAGCAATTGGACCTCATTGAAATTATTTTAGTCCTCTACAATTCCACTGCTGACTTTGTTGACACATGTCATCGGTTCCGGGTTGCGTAGACCGATGCTCATGCTGTTGATCACTGGATTATCTGGTCCACACTCAAGTATTTACAGACCGCTGCCATATAGCTGGAATATTGCTATGTGCGGCGTAAAACTAAACTCACTCGCTCACAATTCCGCTGCAATAGATTGGGCAACTGAGTCATGGTGGCTCAAATGATGATCTGTCACGTGAATGTGTGGAGGATAAGCTCCTCCTGCGGTCCTGTGAGGACAATGTAATATCCAGGTCCAGTTGTCCAAATACGTTTTCTTGAGGAACCATCTTTCTTGTCGTATGACGGTCAGGCTGTTTGTCAGACGATTTCGAGTTTGGCTCAGGCTGTGTCTCAGTCTGTGATCCAGATGTAGATTGAATTCCTGGGGACAATGGTTATACAACTGAACGCGAGGTAATGGGTTTTTCAGACCTGACCCATGTCAAGTCAGTCTGACATGTTACAGGTCAAGGTATGAGATATTCCCTTTGCATTTTAGTTTCATTAGTTTGGATTCTTTTTGCCAAACAGGTCAGGATTTTGATGTAGCAACATGTGGTCCAGAACTGTTTGCGCATTTAAACTCATTGTTGCAGTCTGTCACCACAACGATGGCAAATAGGAAGATAGTCTGTTGCCTCAATCACTAGGAAACGTGCCCAGGAATCAGCATTAAACGAAACAGTTCTTGATGATTTATCAATATGTTCAAAGCGCCTCTTCATTTCATTTCGCGCTGAACCAGATGGTTTGGGATCCATCATGGAAAGAAAATTGTTCAACACCCCTGCGCCCCACCCACCACGCAGTGTCAACAAGGACACTGTGTCAATCGGTACTGGATCTCCAGGATGCTAACACCTTGCATACATCCAAGGGCAAATAAAATGTTGATGTTGTGCAAACATAATCTCTATGCACAGGGCCTGGCGTGACCAACCGATTGATAGAACCGGGCCCATTCTACCACCCGTCTAGGTGAAGTTAGGCACTTAGTGGTGTGTTGGGCAAAAGGAACACTGTTCCTGGCTCCTTCGCCCTCAACCACCAGAATCCCTACCTCCACAGGGGCGCAACCTACGTCAAACAGGTTGCCCAATTCGGTCTTACGACCAGCAATGAGGTGCTGTGGACCTATATGCCCCACACGGGGGGTGAAGATCTATTAGCGTTACCAAGCACCCACCACGAGGAGGTTGATCTTCAAGGGTGCCCACAAAGGTAGAAACTGGGCACGGATCCTATTGCTATTCTCGCAAACATTGTGTTTCACCAAAAGGCGAAATGGTGCTTAAGATAATATGACTTAATCACGGAAATTCGGTCACTTCAAATAACAAACATATGTGCTTGTTTGTTGCCTGTCTCCTCCTGCCATTGCCCACCTGACAATTTGTCATCAGTCTGTTCGTGTTCGTATCTGTTCCTGAACATGCAAACAATATACGATGACGTTGCCTTGGATATGTTTTCATTGTAAGGGCTCGCCTACATGAATTTGTTTTATGACCTTCAATTCTTTCACTGTCATCATTATTATTCGTGGATAGTCTACAGCATAAAATGGTGGTATATATTACAAAATGTATTGCTCAGTGTTATCAAACAATACATTGCAAGCCAAAACATATGAAGTAAACAAATGCTGCAGGTTATGACGGCATATTTTAACATTAAGATATCCTACAGTTAAATACAATATAGTATTACGATGTTTTCATTAATTTACCCTTACTTACCGAATTCTTTCGTATGGGTAAGGTATGTGGGAATACAACTTTGCGATGTGATTTATAGATTAATGTTTACAACTATTCAAATATATATTGACTTGTCGTTGCACTACAACCGGTTTCTCTTCTTCTTAGCGTAGGTTTTATGTTCAATACTTAAATATGAATATGCTCAACAATGGTTGTCAGATACATATTGCAGTAGTCAAGTCCTTTAAACAATAATAATCACTTTCAGTGTAGTAACAATATCTGATTACTCGTGTTTCCCAGGTGTATTTACATGGATGTGTTTATGTCTGTTTGAAGATGACTCTGCTTGTCACGATAATTACATGGTAAATGCTCATAATATATAGCAGGAAGGGTACATTCAATGCTTTCGTAGGAATGCTGAAATGCCCTTGGGTTCATTGCTTTAATAGCAGAATTCTTCTCGGATGCACTAATAGATTTGAAAAGAATGATTGTATTTCATATAAAGTAAATTCATTAAAGCGGCAGTCCTTACTTATTCCATTCTTTCCACAGTATGCAGTTTGAATATTCAGGGACCGAACAAATTCGCTGCATCCATTCCTGAATTTCGTTCCCGGACAAGACGTGTATATTTAGAGGTCAATTGATATAGCTGGATTATTGGAAATTACATGCTATTCATCCTTTCAATTCTCCAACGACTGAGACATTTTCGTTAACCGCCATTATCCTTAAGGACTTCCAGACTTATGGAAGCGTAGTTGGGCCACAGTCTATGCTTAAGATGCAAATGTCTGCGTAGCATATACGATATTTCAACGTAGATGATACTTTTGCGTAGAATAAACTTATACCTATATCTCTGTATGTGATGCTATAATCTTGAGTATCGTTACTCAGGCCAGGATATTGTCTTGTCAAGTTACTATCCCTTGTTGCATTGAGTTTATATATACAAATATATAGATAGTTTATTTAAATGTTCAAGGGCATGTTGGTCATATATTTAGATTTAACATTTTCATTTTTTTCTCAGCTTAGTTCAAATTGTCAAATTATCTACTAAAATCTATAATATAAATTTCAACAAACTTCTAAATGAAGAGTTATTTTATTGAATGCTCTGAAAATACCTTGATAGAGACATATCAAGGTAAAAGGGATCGGTCATTATTAATTAAGCCACAGGGTATATGCCACAGGCCCGGAACTACTGTCGATAACGCTTTCTAAGGAGATCATAATATCATGTACATAAATTTAAGCATCATCTAAAAAGAGTAAGTAATATTGTTTTACTGAGGCACTAATATTCTTCCATACAAAATTGCAAATTTAGACGGATTACGAAAAAAATATCATAAAGTCGAGAAATTATGGATATCCTTTTCTTTATTTTGAGGAACACGACGTTTCGAAGTATATTCCTACTCATTCATCTGGTGAATCGGGTGAAAATATATCAATTGCAATTTAAATATTGTATCGTTTTCTTCACCAGGACACACGGGGATATAGCATTTGAGACCATTGATTCTGCATAGAGACTCTTTACGAGACTCTGTGCGTAAAATGTACTGGTATATCAAATATCAAAACCAAAGAATGCAGGACCCATCATCATTAACCGAAATACGTGAATACATCAATGTATTTGCAACTGAAATATCCATCGTATACGTTTGCCGTGTTCGCAAGTAATTTAAACGCAGACAATAGTACGATTGTATGCCCCATTACTGGATAAAGCCATAGAACTAAAACTTCACTCGTGTGTTAATCAACAGTTGTAAAACTGGAACTTCAGGGCTCCCACAGGTCAGGGAAAAGTCAGGGAAATTTGGCATTTCTCTTGATATGTTTTCAAATGTCAGGGAATAGTCAGGGAATTTGGGGTTTAAGTCAGGGAAATTTAGGGGTTTGGTCAGGGAAATATAAGACTCAGAATGTCGCTCATCAGGTATGGTAGTAGTCAAAGTCAAAGATGCAGCACATGTTACAGACATTTCATGAAGTAAATTACAGTTCAGATAAGAGATTGCTTTTAAGCATACCAGCATGTTTTACATAAAGCCCTAGATTACATATTATATTTTCATTCCTGGAGTATAGAATAGAAACAAAGTCACTTGAAGGATATTTTTACAGATAATTATTTGGCATGTATTGTTTTCTTAAATCAGCACAATGTGAATTTCATCTTCTACAGCCAGGTGACATAACAGACATATAATCTTCTATGAAGCACAAAACTTTGCAGATATATCAAACAGAACCTAAAGTGGTGTCTTTGACTATTTACAGATTTTTGTCATTTTTATTTTTCTTGGTTGCCATGGAAACGTTTTGGACTGAGTCTTAAAAGGGAGTGGTGGGCTTTGTTTCCGGAGCACAACTCGAAAACCGTTTAATATCTTTCAACAAAACTTGGCAGATATATCAAACAGAACCTAAAGTGGTGCCTTTTGCTATTTACATATTTTTGTCATATCTATTTTTCTTGGTTTCCATGGAAACGTTTTGGACTTTGTCTAAAAAAATGAAGTTCAACTTTAAGTAACTGTCAGATGATTTGCTCTTTTATATTTGTAGGGGCCGGGGGATTTGTCATCTTCTGATGACTCTTGTTTAGTATGGCAAAACACTAGTACGAGATAGGCATAGTGATTAACAATAGATAATTGTTTGCCATTCAAAAACATTTTTCTTTATAGGCAACAGATCCACCTCTTCGAAAGATAACTATGTTAACAGATAATTTCCATTCATTTGTATACCGTTCCACAATATTATAAATAGTATGATGGCTATGGTGGTTTCTTGCAAATTGGGAAAGCCCATTTTGGCCAAAAATACCCATATAAGTTTCATTGTTAAAGTACAGCATAGGTTTATAATATGCCCTATGTTCTGACATTTGCTGTTTATTCACAAAATTGAAAGTGGTTTAATGATGTTCATAATCTAGTTGTCATGGTTGTACGGAATGTTTATTCTTTCCAAATACGCCTTTGACAATTACAACATTTTGTGATAATGAAGAAATGTGTTCCTGACTTTGAATGAAACAATTCAATTTAATCGTTAGTTGCACATTTATGATCTTTGTCAAAAGCCTTTAATATAAAATACAAAGTTTTCAGATGATATATTACTGACTTCACCTGAGAATATATATTTGATGGTCACGGTCAAATGTATCTAATAGTATTATGTAACATTGTGGCAGGAGAGTCAAGGAAAATGTTCTTCATCACAAATATCAATGTTTTGGTTAATGTAATAAATTTACAAATACTGTGTGTATTTATGATATGTGTGAAGGAAATATCTTATCACGGTGGTTAGGACTGACTGAAAGGGAGGAAGGAGGCCAGTTTTTACACTTAAATGGTCAGGGAAAAATCTATACTTGTCAGCGAAAAGTCAGGGAAAAGTCAGTCAGGGACTTTTGGCCTGCCATAGGAACACGAATCAAACTACCTCAATGCATCGATATGAAGAATTTCATATAACATGTGTAATCAGATCAAATCGGTTCATGCAAGAATCTAGAATAGATAACGTTCTCACTGGGGCTAACACCATGTCTATTACACTGGTATATGGACTGCGTATTTGGTCTTAGGTGCATAGACAAGGCAAAGCCAAAGATGATAGAATGAAAATGTTCCAACCCATGATCATTGGGTGATCATCGTTTAAGTGTTGTATTACAGCCATAAGTGACACATTCGTCAACCGTTATGTTATTAAAACATTTCCAGACTGAAAACACAGAAAGATAGTAGATCACTATCCGATAACCAATGTTTAGTTGTTTCATGTTCAGCAACCACTAACATGTCTGTGTACTATAATTTGCCCAGCCGTTTACATCTCTCAGAAAATATTCAAGAGGAATGCAAATGCAGAGGTTATAAGGTAGGCATCCATATTTCTCCTTTGACTTCTCTTCTAGAAACGAAATGTGAGTTAACTGATATATTTAATCAATAACTAGTTTGCAACTTAACTTTTACCTACTGTTCACACCTGTTGGGTATTTTACAATTTTAGGAATTCATTTCAGAGTGTATCATCATGTTCCACTGTAGGTGGCTGAGAGTTCTAATCAACACGGGTTATGTTATCAACATTGCGACCCTTAGTGTCTCAGCAGATGCAGGTTTCACACAGACAATATTTGTTTAGGACAATAAACAAACTTAATCAGTTTGATAGTAATTAGGACGACCCAACACTGTGTTGTGATTGCATTTGTAATTAACTGTGACCGTTAAGTTTGGGAACATATATAAAGCTTTACATTCAAACACATTTCAACAGTTTACTGCCACAGCTTCAGCACAATGAAGATGTTTCTTGCATTTATAGCCGCTGTTGTAGCAAGCCATAGTGAGTGTTGTGAATGGCCATATCATTTAACTTTCCTATTGATTCTCAGCAAATAACATATCACCTGACGTTGACATGTCATTTCGTGGGAAAATAGCAGGACTTGTCTTTTTGTGTCCCTTTCTGTTTTTCCCCATTAATAACTTTGTCACTAATGTTGGCGCGTTGACGTTACACATTTTCAGGTTTGGGATTGTCGATTCAGGATGGAAATGGCACGTGTGCTGATTGCACTGCATTCTTTACTGATCGTCAGGAGATGACACTCGAGAGGATTGTAAGTACACAATACAATTACTATCCCATCCTAACTAACATTCCTTGGTGATTCGTAAACATCGCGTTTTTTTCTCTACATCTGCACATAAGTTTATGTTTAGAACATTATCGAAATGGTTCACACTCGTACATGCATTGAAAAACGCCATTCGTTGTTTTTAATTCTAAACCTGAATTTTCAACTTTCTCTATTAATGAACATATCTACACACACACACACACACACACACACACACACACACACACACACATATATACACACACACACACACATACACACACACACACACACATACACACACACACACACACATATATATATATATATATATATATGAACACACAAAAACAAATCTAAGATTGTGGCAATTACACTACTTCATCATCTAGTATTCTGCGTTTTTATACAACGTGTGTTTCAGAATGAAGAGGAGGAAAAAATGATCGAACGATGTTCTACACTGGAACCTAGCAAGGTGGAAGAGGTCAGACAAATAACCTCTTCTCATAACTGTTCTCAGAACCAAAGGGATTTCCTAAACAAGATGAAACATATGACTAAAATGGGCTACTACTGTATGGAGCACATATTCGACAATTGTTCATTATCATATGAATGCTCGTTAGTGTTTCGAAAGTAAGATACGTGATATAATTATGCTGAAAATGGAGTAATACTATTCTATATATAGTGTATAATGTCAAGTTGTTATCCCTTTGAGCATGTCAATATAAGTACAGTAGTATTTTCGAAGCTAATATGGTGAAAACGCGTATTTGCAGTGTAAAACAAAAGTCAAGAAAATATCCCAGGAGAAGAAAGACAAAGCCATCAGTCAGGTAACTGTTACCATTTACCTCAACAGTAATCCTGCTCAAATAAGTGGACTTATCATAAAACGCAAGGTGTCGTTAGCTCAAATGTACATGACTTGTACTTGTAATTACATGATGGGGAAAAGTAATTAATCCGAAACGTTAACAAACTCACCTGTGAAATGAAATTTGGACACTTGGGAAAAGAAGTGGATAGCCCAATGTTGGCATTTTTAGCTTGTGTTTACTTTATCAGAGTGACATATATACTTTCTTTCTTTTCTTTAACATTATTTTATTGTAAGTATAATGATTGCATTATATAACATGACAATACTGTATTGTACACTGTGCGTAAGTATAATGATTGTGTTATACAACATGACATCTCACTGTGTGCATTTTTACAGAGCCCCATAGCCATTTGTGAAGCCATCAAGTTCTGCCAGTCGCTTGCGGCAGTCAAAATTAACAAACCTACAAATAAGGTAAGATATATGATAAGTACTTGTTCACTGACTCCTCACTGCAGCGTGTTTTTGTGAACATATCTGATCAGACTAGCTAACAATCAAATGAATGTCACAATGTGTACAGGGTTCGTTCTATTTACTGAGTTTAAACAGGAAGGTCTTGCTTCATTGTACATATTGTGATGCAACGTTATTGTTGCGATGAGCTTAGTAATATTTAGCTCTGTAAGTCAACAACAAAAGAAATGTTTAAGCCAAGACATTAAACTAGCTGAAGAATGAAGACTATTTTTAGGGATATACAACTTCTTTATTCTATATAGGCGACGTTTCGATATAGCTTCTAATGTCGTTGTCAAGCAACTTGCTTGACAAGGACATTAGAATATATGTCGAAACGTCGCCTATATGTCGAAACTTGCTTGACAATGACATTAGAATATATGTCGAAACGTCGCCTATATAGAATAAAGAAGTTGTATATCCATAAAAATAGTCCTCATTCTTCATCTACCCAACTTCTAGAATACCAATCAAAGAAATTAAACTAGCTGTCCCCCGACTCTCTCCCATAATGTGTTTTGAAAACGAATATATATTTCTTGAATCGCTCTACTCTTGTACACAACAGCGCACGTAATTCAAATTAAATCACTGTTTCTACAAGATATGTAAATGCGCCACTGGAATTTCTGGTCCTCTGACCTGTTGACTGTTTACAGGCTGCCATTGCATTACAGATGTACTGCTGATAAATGCTTACGTTTCTGTTCAAACTGTGTGAATAGTGGATGGTACCGATAATGCAGAGTATGCTTAAAACGTTTCGCAACCACTTGGTGCCATCACTCATTTTCAGGTTTGCATTCATATAACTTCCACTGCTATCTTTATACCCATGCTTACGAAGTAACGGGGGTACATAGCGTTCATTCCGTCCGTCCGTCCGTCCGTCCCAAAACGTTGTCCGGAGCATATTACCGAAACTATACATGCTAGGGTCACTAAACTTAGCACACATGTTAATCATCACCCACAGATGTGCCTTTTGCAGTTTATCAGAATTTTACTTTTTGCTGTTCCCATGGAAACACAACTTAGTGCAAAATGTATTGGATGGTTATCTTGTCCAGAGCATATCACCGAAACTATACATGCTATACATGCTTACCCTTGTCACTTCATATATATCAATATCAGTCATTTCCATGTCCCAAAGTGAGAAGCGGGGGCATATGAGCTGTGCTCACTTCTACACTTGTTTCTCTGCTGCATTAACGATTTCTATTTACAAACTTAGGTGTAAAACAACAGTACTGGGATTAGTGATTCAATTTGCCATTCATGTTTCTGCAGGTTGAGTCGAAACGCCGCTGCAGGGACTGCAAGAACTTTCTCAATGACGTCAAAGAAAAAGAAATGGCCAGTGTTGTGAGTGACAAATATTGACAAGATTTATACACCCATATGTTAGTGACGTATTTGCATCATTTCACCAAACACAAAAAGCATGTAGCATTGTGACTGAAATGAACAAGTGTTGAAGTAAAGTAGTTGTCAAATCCTGACTATTTCTTTTCAATAAGTTTCTTTATATTCACAGGCCTCTGTCGGTGAACTGATAGAAACCGAATTCTGTGAAAAACTCAGCGAAGATCGACAGGATAAGGTATATTCGGATCCGTCTATATTCTGTTGTTGCATTTTCAATACATCAGTTCTACTGTGTTTGCGGGTTTTTTTGTTTAATATAGAAAGGCGCACTTAGAAATCTCTCAGTAACATGACGGCAGTGTATAAATTATCGAATCTGGACCATACAATCTGGTGATTGACACCATGAGCATCGGAGTCGGTAACATATGGACCACTGACACTTTCAATCAATTCTTTCCTTCTCGTTAGGAGAAAATAAAATTGTTTCACTAATAAATATCAATATGTATTTACATTTATAAAAATTCTTTCTTTAGTTTCATGATAAATAATGTGTCGATTTAAGACACATAGATAATACAAACACAAGATATATATTCTAATAGAGATTTTGTGAGTTTTGATAGTCAAACTGATGGTATTTAAGCCTTCTGTGTTTTGTTTTAGTGTGAAGCCTTCATAGAGACAGCAACTGAAAAGGAAATCGAGCTACTAGATTTGGTAGTAAGTAAATTAGGGTAACGGAATGAATACACACAGTTTGTATCAGTATGTCTAAACGGACTGATCAAGTAATCAACCTAGATATTTAGCGTTGAAAGAATATTGTCTATTCATATAATCATTTATTAAAGATGACAACATTTCTTGGTTATAGAATGTGGAAAAGACGTGCACGCGCCTTGATATGTGTGGTGGCAACTAGTTGTAAGGTGAGTACAATATTGAATGTGGTTCAGTGCACTGATCCACTTCTCAGGATTTGGCCTTCATCTGCATGCTAAATGAACACTTTCCTCATGACTAGTCATGCTGTAAACATGCCACAGTTAACTTCACCTTGCATTTTTGCTTCTGCAGATGCTGAATGTGCTGCCTGTCGATCCTTCATCGCCATCAGTCAACGTCACATGTAATCATTTGTCAATAAAGCTTGGCATTTAACCAGAGTTATGTTGTTACATAAAACAGTTTAGATAACATTTTGATAGTGTGTGTTGGATTTCCAAACACTTATGTCATAGCCAAGGCATGCTAAAATCCGGCAACTAAGCCTACCAACATATCAAATGGCATGTTTGATGGACACACGGAATTTCTACAGAATTTAGCAAAAGTAGGGATTTCCTGAAGAAATACTCAGTTCACATTCTACTGCTTGCATTTATTGTATGAATCTTACCCTTATTCCCTTAAAATTAATAATTTCAAAGTTATAAGCTGTTCAAATTCGTGGTGTAACAACATAAAAAAGACAAGAACAATTCAGTTTATCATAAAATATACAATCCATATGTACTAATTGTAACGAAGTTTGGGTGTGGGACGTAATGATGATATATTTAAACTGTCCAGTACCAAGATCTGGAGATTTCATCAAAAAAGATGTAGGGTGTTACGGTGTCTGGCACAAATATCTGCCGTAGATTTTGTAATATTATTGAACCGCCGTTATATTTTGTAGGAGTTGTTGTTTGAAGATACTTTTGACAACAAAAGTCATTCTGCGGTTCCACAACATTTTATTGTGAACTTTTAACCCGGACCTTTGAATTCAGCTACTAGATTCCCACCATACGAAGGACTTTAACTGTATTGCTCCTATACCTAAAATGATAATATGGCATGACCATGTAGTACTCCGTCCACAATCCTCAGTATAAAGCGACAGTCCCAGAACTGCAAGAGTATGACTGGCCTCATGCATCTCTAACCAGGCCAATCGCCAAACAGCTGACGAGTGCAAATCTGCCTTGCCCAAGGGAAATGGGGAGGTAATGTTCTGGTACAACCCACACTGCATGCGCCACAAAGTATACCGCATGTGACATATAATATATTGCACATGATATACTGTATACTCCATGCGATACAAGGTGCGTTCAACCTGTCAAGAAGAAAACCGACCACATCATAATGACTGGCAGATTCATCTCTGTTGCCTATGCCATCTGTTTGGCAGCACGAAAAACTGTATTCAATGCTATACTCATACTGTAAATGTAGAAAGTAATGTTGCATGTTTCAACAATAGTGGTAGATGAATTCTGCAGATAGATGTATTCTTTAAATAGATGTATATTTTACATAGATGTATATTTTACAACTTAAATTAATGGTATATATTACAAATTGTTTTGCTCAGTGTAATCAAACAATATGTTCCAAGCCAGAGCATATTAAGTAAACAAACGCTGCAGGTTATGACAACATAAAATTAACGAATCCTTCAGTTCCTACATGCGATGTTTACATTAAAATATTTAATACTATAATACGTCCGATTTGAGTGGTATGGATATGGTATAGATCATTTCGATGTTATTTATAGGTTAATGTCTACAACTATTCAGAGATATGAATTATAGTGACTTGTCTTTGCCCTGCAACCGGTTTCACTTCTTGTTCGAAACACACGACAATGAAATATACGATAGCTGAAACGAGGCACTGACTCTAATCTTTCCAACACTAACTGCTGTTTTGGAGCTTTATGTTCAATACGTTAACATGAACAATGGTTCTGAGATACACATTACAGTATTCAAAGTCCTTTAAACAATGATAATCGCTTTAATTGTAGTAACAATATTTGATTACTCGTGTTATATTAAGTTATTCGGGTATTATGACGTGGGTCGTCCGTTGATACTGAATATCAAGTTCTTTCTAGAAGACGCATGTGTGCTTTGTTACAATACAAAAGGATTTTGTTTCTTTCATGAGCTGTGATTAATATTTTTTATTGATTCATGTTTTTTCCATGCGTGCAGAGAAACAGGATAGGTCAATCTCCAGTACACCTGGAACATTTGTCTCTGCGTTGGTCATGTCGTATGAGCACACCTGGAGGTTATCACACATTTAATTTGGGATGGTACTTAACTTAATACGTTTGTTTCTACATCACTAAAATACAAAAGACCCCCTGTCTGTCCAGCTTACCATAACGTCACGGAATGCAGTCATTTATATCAGTATTATATATTTCCGCCACATTAAACTGTCTTCCAAATGATTCCAACAGGCAGAGGTCTTCATGCACAAATGGAGAAACTGGGCACGAATCCTATTGGTATTCTCTCAAACATTGTGCTTCACCAAAAGCGAAATGATGATGAAGATAATATGACTGAATCACTGAAAATCTGTTACTACGAATAACAAACAAAAGTGTTTGTTGCTAGACACTGCTGGTGTGTCCTACTGCCACAAGATTCAATTGATGGATCGTTATTTGTGGATGATTTTAGTATTTCTTGTCGCCTGTAATAGCATGCATACTATTGAAAGATAGTTGTGTTTGAATAAAATTAAGAAATAGTGTTAGGTTTTCTAAAACCAAGACCAACTGTGTGCACCTTTTTAGAACATATAAGCCTCATAACGATCCTGAGATAGTATTGGATGAGGCCAAGTTTCTTGGTGTTATTTTTTACCATCACGTGACTTTCTTACCGCATTTAAAGACTCAATGCCTGAACGCACTTGATCTATTAAAAGTAGTTTCAAATTCAAATGAGGAGGGGACAAAAAAAACACCCTTCTCCAATTATACAGAGCCGTATCCGTTCTAAGCTACATTACGGCTCCATCATTTATGGTAGAGTTTGTAAAACCAATTTTTAAAAATTCAAAGTTTATATGTGGAGACCGATATTTCCAAACTACGTTCATTTAGATCCAATCCAGCATATGACTGCGTTTTTAATCTTCTGTATGAGGAACTCTACGAAACACCAAACAGATCTCTTACTCCACACCTTGGGATACGGATACAATCACATATTTCTGCTGCTCAAATAGATCTTAGAAAAACAGACCCGACCCAACTTTTCTCTTCACCACCATGGCAATGAATAAAGCCTGGCGTGGATTTAACATTAACTAAAGTTAAGAATTCTGAAACAAATAAACTCATCTATCAACAAGAATATCATGAATTAAGAAATACATATGAGATATTTTTTTAAGAACGAATCCAAGGATGATGACACAGTATCCAGCGCTACCATTATTGGATCCAAGACTAAACCTTCAGAATACCAAATAACTGCTCCATTTTTTACGGCCGAAACAAACGCAATATTAACGCGATTAAAATACATTTGTCAACAGTCTGAATATAAACAGACTCGTTATATTGTCTTCAGACAAATAAAATTCAGTCTGGTTACCATCCTCTTTTAACTCCCTGGTATGGTGATCTACCTTCTGGTGTTGGCGATCTATAGCCTGTTTTTATATTGTATTGTCCAAATAGTGCTATCAGTTTTAACTCTCCACACTAGTTTTAGTTGTAATTGTGATATTCTAGTTGTATTACTGTCCTTCGTCGACAGGTTTTTATAACGTACATATATTCCATTTCAATGTCAAATGTTCTCATTTCACTTTTTATTGTATAAATTGTTTTCGTCACGATATGGCTGGGATATTGCCGATGTGAAGTTAAATATTAACTCACGCACTCACTCACTCACTCACTCACTCACTCACTCACTCACTCACTCCTCTTTTAAGAGAAATTATTGAATTATAAAATGTGCTTGCTACTGGCCAATACGACATTGTCTTCTGTTGGTTACCCAGTCATGTCGGAATTTCTGGTAACACAATGGCTGATGTTGCTGCAAAAGCAACTCTTAACGAATTTGTGATGTCCACTTCTGATGCCCTACACTGACTTTAAACCTTTGATTATATCTTACATCCGTGATCTAATGCAGCAGAAGTGGGACATTGAAGTGGGTTTCAACAAGTTACATCAAATTTAATCAACTATCGGTTATACCTACTTGGGTTGTCATGAAGGAATTACAGTCAAGTATGTCCTGCTTGGTTGTGTGGATTTTTCCATCACAAGGGATACATATTTCAAAGATTCAACTATGAAGGATTTTAACATAAATTCTCGTTTAATTATAGGCTTTTAAAAAGAAATTGAGTTGCTTCACAAATTTAAATTAATGTTTTCTAAATTGATAACTGAGATTGCTTGTGGATGTTCCCTCAAAGGGGGTTGAAGTACTGTAAAATAACTGTCCCCTTAAAGGGTACGTAATACCTCGTCATTCCAAGTCTATTGATTCGTAATGTGTTTTTAATCGTAGAATATGTGTTCGTTTAATTCATTGTAAATTCATCAGAATTGCTAACGTCTGAAGGGATGGTATTAATCCAGCCAAAGTCCATGCAGGTATAGCAGTGATTTATACTTATGCTGAAATGGGTTTGTCGCTTTCCTACCATAATCCTTCTCGGTCTGGTTTATTTGGTTTGTTGTTTTACGCCGCACTCAGCAATATTCTAGCTATATTGCGGCGGTCTGTAATTAATCGAGTCTGGACCAGGCAATCCAGTGATCAACAGTATGACCATCGACCAACGCAACTGGGATACGATGGCATGTGTCAACCATGTCGGCGAGCCTAAACATCCGATCCCGTTAGTCGCCTCTTACGACAAGCATGGATTACTGAAGGACAATTCTAACCCGGATCTTCACGGGTTCCTTCTCGGATCTACTACCAGATTTGAAAAGGGCGAGTGTGTTGCATATGAAGTTAATTGGATTAAAGAGATATGCCTTACTAATACCATTCTTTGTGCAGTATACCGTTTGGATATCAAGGGACAGAACAGATTCACGGAATTTCATATTTGAGAGAAAAAAAAACTCTAGAAAGAGGACTGGGTGGTCAGACCCGGTAACTCTGCCGAATCTGGTCCATGTCAGACATGGATTATGCAAAGACATCGTAAGACATCGTTGTCAGACAATCCGTTTTTAAAGGCCAGTTGGTAAATCTGGAATGCTGTAAATTTCATTTAATTCTTTTGTTCAATCCTCCAACGAAAGAGATAATGTCGTTAACCGCCATCATTCTCAAGGACTTCCAGACTTATGGAAGCGTAGTTGGGCCACAGTCTATGCAAAAGAT